GGGGGGGGGGGGGGCCGGGCCCCCCGGCCCACGGTTCCGCCGGCCATGGGCCCAATAATGTTCAGGTTACTGTTGAGGTAGTAATTATGATGTTGCACATTGAAAAGGATAGAGTAACGGTATCTAAAAATAAAATAACATTTTACGCTTACTGACGAATAAAGTCGCCAATGCAATGACTATTGACCTAACCAGGATACTAGAAAGAAACTCACTCCGTTCGACAACAGAGTTAATTGATTGCAGGATGTAGGCATTTAAATCCTAAACGTTTACATTGGCTGTCGGTTCTTCCTTGTCCGAGTTGGCTATTCCTTTCAAATGATGTTCGAAAAAACCGTGTTCGATTTATTTGATTTTATTACCATTTGATTATTAATTAGGAATTAAGATAGCAAGACTGAAGTTCAAGGTTGGATCAAGCCAGCTCCACTCGGATTCGAATAATATCTTCGGATCCATGGGATGTTAATTAGGCCTATACCTCTATAATCTGAAGATGAATACAACGGCCGAAGAATTAGCGGTTTTCAGTTTAATTTTCAGGACAGCTATTATGATCACATTTTTATTGCTGGCTGTGGTAGGTAACTCGTTGACACTTGTTATACTCTGCAAAAAGAAATCACTTCGCACGAAAACGTCTGTGTTTGTTGCCAACCTGGCAGTAGCAGACCTTTTGAGCGGACTTTTGATTATGCCCGTTGTAACTGCGGCTTCTATTGCAAATGAGTGGCCATTTGGAGACGCCTTTTGTCAAGTTTCTGCATTTCTTACTGCGCAATTATCCCTAACAAGCGTCACGACTTTGTGTGCTGTAGCAATAGAGCGATACCACTCTATCGTCAATCCGTTGACTTATGAATCAAAAATGTGCACAAGAAATGTCATTATTCTTGTAACTTGGACTTGGTTTCAGCCATTTATTTTTGCAATTCTACCTATATTGGACTGGGGGAGTTATGTTTACGTTCCGTACGTCTTTGGGTGCATTACCCCTTGGGGAGATTGGCCAGCTTTTACAATATCATTGTTCACCGTATGTTTATTCATTCCATATACTATAACTGTAGCGGCATATTACCACATTGGTAGAATAACTTTTCGACACTTAAGAGAGATAAGTAAGTACACCCTTACTGGCACATCAACGCTAGGATGTGAGCGATCCCGTCTACTAAGATTAGAGATTAAATCTGCATTGGTGTTCGCTATCGTTATTGGCACATACACATTATGTTGGTTGCCATGGCAAATTATGATGATCTGTCAATTGTTTAGCGTAACTTTACCAAATGAGTATCTAACAGCGGCAGCATGGATGGCTTTGCTAAATTCATCGTGCAATCCTATAATCTACTGCTTAATGAATAGACATTTCAGAAATGGATTAAAAAATTTGTTTGCAGGCATCGTATTTCGCTTTAAAATGAAACTTTAAGACATGACCATGATTCTTTATAACTTTGTACTGTTTCAAATACTGAGAACATTAATTTCATATCGTTATTTGGACACTTAATTATTTATTTTTATGCTAAGCATTTTTAACAGTGGCACTGTTATATATTATTGTTATATACAGTTATATATACATTTCTGTAAGTACAGCTATAGTAAGTGGGCCTTCGTGGCTCTATCTTAATTCGGCGAGCATTGTTACGGCTATGACGTACTTGTGATTATTCTTACAGCAGGATGAATACACAAATAGACTTAACCCTGGTTTCCACCGCTATCGCCGACTTCTTTGGCGACGCTGAGTCAGTTATAAAGCTTGGTTTCCATACAATCGCTCACCCTATCGGCAACAGTCGGTGGAGGGCAGGGGTGGATATCCTCTCAGACCCCACTAACTTTAAATCATGTATCCGTGGAATGGGGTGGCAATTTCAATACCAAATGTTTTAAGCGCCCCCCCCCCGGTTCCCAAACGGCCGGACCACTTTCAAAATGCTTCCGACGGCTATGAGACGAATCAGGGTGCATTGCTAGCTACCCCGACTCATTCGGGAAGGCACCCCGATTCGTCTGCACTCTGCAACGCAAATCGGCAAGGTTGAACAAGCTTCCCGACAAATGTCGGCGACTGTTGCCGAGTTGCCGATAGGGTGAGCGATTGTATGGAAACCGAGCTTTAAGAAGCGTTCCCGATTGCGTCGGGAACACATACACAGTGCAAGGGTGCAGTGAAAACGCTGTTAGCGACTGTGTTGCGATTCAATGGAAAACAAGCTTCAGTGACGTCGTTAAAGAAATAACAACACAATACCACGATTTGGCTCAGCGGTTGTGGTTCTGCTTCTCAACTTTGGGGTCGGAGGTTCAATCCCTCGCTGTGCATTTCGGTTGTGTCCAAGGCACTTCTCCTATGGTTGCCTCTTTCCACCAAGGAGTACAAGTGGTTATGAAACTTAATGCCAAAAAGAAGAAAAAAAACAAAACAAAACAAAACAAAAAAATCCAAAGAGTTTGTGGTAAGCTGTAAGGAAGTTAAAACAGAATTTGAACCACTCTCTATTGAAGATAGTAATATTGACTGTGTTTCCGTAACTAAACTTTTCGGTCTAATTTAAGCAGCAAATTATGATGGCAACGTCATATTGATAATATCGCTAAGAAGTCTAAATTCTAAATTATTTTTTCTTAGACAATTAACAAGTTCAGGTGTTGAAAACCATGCATTAATATCTTTGCTTTATAAACAAGACATTAGACCTGTATTCGAATACGCAGTGCCAATATGAGGCGCAGTCTGAATATTACTAAGGACCAGTCTTAACAACTTGATCGCATTCAGCATAGAGCCTGCAAAATAATCTTTAACAAAACTTGTACATGAGATGATGACCCTGTTATTCCACTGACTGTAAGACAGTGGCGACGTTACGGGGTTGGGGGAGGCTAGGCAGGGCTACAGCCCCCCTCCCCTCGGACCACTTTCGAAAGGTTATTAGCGACGCCCGACCACGCCCACTTCTTCTCGTCAGGGACATCAGCCCTTCCGCCGGGGACCTTGGACCCCCCCGGGGAAATCCTGGCGCCGCACTGCTGTAACAAGGGACAACCTGGCAGGGCATACTTCACCAAGGTTAAACACCCGGGATATGTACTGCATAATTTGCTACCTGATAAGACAAATATCAACTCTAACCTTTGAGCTCCTAGTTCAAGTTTCCAAAAGTCAGAACAAAGCGGTCCCGTGACTATATTTTAATCATTGGGTATTTGCCAAGCGGTGAAGTCCCCTCCCCGAGTTACCCCCCAACCGAGTTACCCCCGAGTTCCCCCACCCCAAAAAAGAAAAGATATACCCTGTAGCTTTATTCAGTTTTGTACTCAGTACAATTGCCCATTTGTATGTCTCCATTATTTATGCCCCTTTTGATTGTTTTTGTCTTTCAAGTTTTGTACATTTCCGCCATCGTGTTGACATTCAATATTTCGACATTAATTATGTCATCATCAGGAATAATTCCTGATGATGACATAATTAATGTTGAAATATTGAATCCCAACACGATGGCGTGCATTTCAATACTTGGAGTACGTATTATACTTTCTTATCTGAGATTAATCAGTGGACCTTTCGGTTTTTGTACATTTTCCTTTTGTATTTTTGATGTTGTAACGTGTCCTGTTTTCTTATTTTGACCAATTTAACTAGAGTATTTAAAATATTTTAAAGATTTTTAATATTATTAAATTGAATTATTCTGTACATTTTAAATTTTCCTTAAATTTGCAATAATGTTATTTTGAATCTTGAAAAACGTTATGGAATTCTCCCCCGGAAACTGAGTATGTGTTGCGTATGTGCTTGATCCAGTGACCGGAGGTAATAATGTGAAGCGCTTACAGGCCTTGGTGGAAGCGCCATAATTCTAACATTATTAATAATAATAATATTATTATTATTATTATTATTATTATTATTATTATTATTATTATTAGAACAGTTTCTTACAACAATAACGGAAGACAACTGAGCTGTTAAACTTACAAGTGAATACTCCTTTAGTAACTCATTATGAGTGAGTTAATGAATGTGCTTTTTTTTACTGGTTAGTTTAAGATATTGAAAAGTGTATTAATTTTTTTTAATGACTTTGAATGTGGTTCTGTATTATTTTTTTATATTGTACATGTTAACAGTTCAAAAAGTGTACATCCAATAGATTTGATTTGATCTTAATTGTAGGCTTATTTAATCTTATTAATGTTAGTATTATTATTATTATTATTATTATTATTATTATTATTATTATTATTATTAATGTTGTTCTTATGAATTACCGTATAGTATTAGATGACAGTTTACTTAGCATTTTAATTGTTGGCTTACTTAATCCTATTAACGTAATAATAGTAATAACAGTTGTTGTTGTTGTTGTTGTTATTATTGTTATTATTATCGTTATTATTAATATTATTATTATTATTATTATTATTATTATTATTAATTAGGGCCTATTATTACTACTACTGTCATTAATGTTGTTCTTATGAATTATATTATTATTATTATTATTATTATTATTATTATTATTATTATTATTAAAGTAAGTAGTTTAAGATTATATGTTTTGTGTATCGTATCCTGGGCACATAAGAATAACATTTGGGTTTCAACTGAATTGATAACCCAGGTTAAACAATAAATGAATGAATAAATAAATAAATGATGATATGATAGGTGGTAACAGGAAAGTTTGTGTACTTTAACTTTCTGTGTAGTATTCAGGATGTAAGTTAATCCCGTTAAGCCTACGGAAGGATGTTCATCTAGCCGATAATGGTATTATATTTCTCTTAAAGAATCACCTCATTGCATTACTATTAGCTGGTATTTAATTATCCTGCTGTAGGTTTGTTTTTGTTTCATATGATGTACGGTAATTCCAAAATGTTATTTTTGAACTATAACACCGTTATTATACTAAATCCTATCGCAGCTATATCTCTGTTGGATGTTTCTATTATAAGAAACATGATTCAACATGTTACTTTCATTTCCTGCTTGACCCGTCAAATTCAGGATTTCTATAATGGGATTTCTGGCTATGGAAACCGGGGATTCCCCGATAAAGCCTGGTTTCCATAAAATCGCTAATTTTGCTACTCTTTCACATTGCATTAATCAATCAATCAACCAATAAATCTGGTTATTTATATAGCGCCTTCCCTTACAGATTCGAAGCGCTGTAAATTTTCCATTGTCATTAGGTCCGCCTGCTTAAGTGTTGCTATCAACTTATTAGAAAATACATCAGTGGTGCACACAAAAGTGGTACATCCAAATTGACAATCTCAACAAAATAAACAGACTTATAACTAGGCATACTTAAACACATTTTTGAAAAACAAGTTCTCGAAAGCTCCGATGTGATTGTGGTGGCCCTAACGCCCATACAAACAAGATCAATTAATCAATCAGCCGAGTGATTCTAGTGGCCTTAACGCTCGCCCATACAAAGAAGATTATTTAATCAATCAGCAGGGCACTCCTGAGCTCCTCAGCCTGACTTAAAAGATTTGTTTAAGTCCGGCTCCCGAGGTAAAAAAAACACCTTTTGATATGTTGTACAACTGATTTTTCTAAGACACAAAACAGTATAGGCCCATTTGACGAAAAACCTGGGAATGAGATATATATTTTTGAATATTTAAACTGAGGGAAAAGGTGGAAAGGGGTGATA